TGAGATTGGATTGGCAAAAAAAAGTCTTGAAGACAGGCACAGAACAGTCACAGGAGCTGAGAAGTATTTCAAGATCACCTGGCCTGAAGTACTGGGGACAGGCCTTTTAGCTGAGCTTTGCTCTGCTGATAGTTATAAATTTATCCAGTGTCAGATAAGTCTGTTTTGTGTGTTGAAATTAAATAAAGGGAAGAATTGATTCTTAAACCATTGAGGGTGTGTGCAGTAATATATAAAGGGAATCATGTCTTTCCTAGGTCAGAAGAAATAAATATAATAAAACAACTTTAAATACAAATAAAAAAGCATATGAACACTGAAAGCACAAGATCTTATCTTGACTGAGAATTACTTGGACATGCCAGACATGCTGAATAAAAGGCAAGCAGTTAATGTTACTGCTGGCACAAGCAGACATGTGAAATATCTAGGAAAATTTGCAAGACTTTATTTGCCACTAGTCTGACAACAGAGGATGATGACATATCTGTGAACATATGTTATGAAAAAAGGCTGGTATCACAAGCTATGCATTGATAGGGTCACTGAATATTTTTAGCTCCAATTCTGGTTCTGGTTGGCCTGTGTATCATCTTGAGTCTGAAAGTGTTGTTCAGTTGTCTCCCCATGGGCAATTGTTCCACTGAATACTTTTAAGTGCATTTATTCAGGAAGGAGCCCTGGCATTTGCATACAATATGATGATTGCTATCCAAGCCTATATAATTTTAGGTTCGCTTCAGCAAAGTGAATATTCCATTTGGTTGGACTTACACACTTACAGAGTTCAGCTGGAAAAAAAATCAGAGTACACTTCTTACAAGTAGAAGAGTACTTGGGCAAGTGGTTCTTCTAAGTCTCTCTCCCTTTTTGTACCAGAGAAGTGCTTTTTCATTTCATTTCTAAGAGTGTGCAATACTTAAGACAGGGCAGCATGGATCACCATGAAAATAAGTCTTTCTGGCTTAGTTCAAAATATATTTATCCATTTTAAAAATTCTTTTTCCAAAAGCTTGTCTACATGTTAAGCCTGCCCAAGGGCACCTTTGATGTATGCTTTAGCCATTTATGTAGCTTTTATATACAACTGCTTGCCTTGACATTGACTAAAAACTGGATTTTGTACCAATCAGACAAGAACTGAATAGTGAAGCGTGAGCCCATCCACATGCTATTTCTGGTAATCTCTTCTTAAAGAAAACACCTCAATGATGTGTTCCACTCCACACCATCTCTCAAAGCACTTTTATTCAATTGAGGAAATGTATTTCTGGTCTTGCTGTTTCATCTTTGCTCTTTGTGCTAGTATGATCCCTTTTTTTCCTCTCTTCTTTAATTACTGCCCCTTGATACAAAATAATAATTAAAAAAAGGGAGCTATTTGCAAATGGCAAATCAGTCCATGGGGGCTGCTTGGATTTTAAGGGCAGCTGCTGTTCAATGTATCTGGTGTGTCACTTTCTGTTTTGTGCTACTGTTTTATTGCTGCTGTGGGAATGGAGCAAAAATAGCGGCTACTGCAGTTCTGTTGAATAACCATCAGTGTGATGTTAGCCGATGTGTAAGTCCCACACTGGGCAAAAAAATGTCCATATTTGATATCTACTGCTCTACCCTGACCTGTAAATGAAAATAGTAACATGCTAAATAGATACAGAAAAGCATGATGAGCTAAAACACTCAGCTGATACACACAGGTATGTCTGTGCTGCTGTGTGTGTGGGGGTGCGAGGATGTATGTACATCTCCAAAAAGGCTGGTGGAAGTCAATAATTCATAAGACGCGTGCTGTTTATTTAAATTTTAAATTGGCTTTTGAAGTATCAAAACCTGCGTTTGGCCACTGCCATTCTACTGCTGCCTGTTTTAAGCAAAATCACCGCCACTCTGCAAATGCCGAGTGTAAACTCCGCAAGCCCCACTTACTGCCAGACCACCTAAACCTGCCGGCTTACCCCTTCGTGGAGCTCAGATTTCTCTTCCTCCCACACCAGACTCGAGTGTAAAGCCTTGCCATGGGAAGTGCTGACTCACGGGAGGGATTTGGGGAAGGATTTGCCTTTTGCTGCGGGGGCTGAGGCCGGCCAGCCCTGTGCCTCCTCCACGGCGGTGCTGCTGCGGGGAGCTGGTGCCGAGGCAGTGCTGCTCGGGACCAGGGCTTCGGGGCTGTTTTGGCCTCTCCTTCCTCTCCACCAGCAAAAGTTTCTGCTGCACCCAACCAGCCTGGCCACGCAGTGCGTTTAAAGGGGCTTTTGTTCTAGCAGAGAGAGGCGAAGCGGCGTTTCCTGAACTGGCTGCTTTTCCCCAACAGATGGCAGTGCCTTTCTCTCGTAGTTAGCCAAAAGTTTAAAAACATTTCGTTAAAAATAGCTGCCCCACATTCTTAATTGGCAATCCTTTTTCTATTTATTGCTAGGCACAAATCAAATGCTGTTTTGCTCTTAGGCAAGCTCAATGCTCAATACATAAAAGCATAAGGTAAAGCACCCAGATATTCCTTATCCTGTTCCACGTCTGCTTGTTATACAGCAAATACTGCACAATTGCTGTTTTGTCACCAAATATCTTCAGAAACTTACTTATAATAAAATGTGTTTTTTTCTTTTTCCATGATTAAAATGGACATTTTTGTTAAAACTCGCTACGCAGTTGGGCACCCAAGCACACACGAAGCCCTCATTTTCTCGTAAATGAAGCTGAAATTATTCCAGCATCTCTGGAGCTCGGCTACATTTACTTAAGGCACTTGGCCCTTATCCTGAAGAGGACTTTGAAAGCTCCTGTGCCTGCAGGTGTTCCTCGTGAAAGGGGATGGAGGCGCCGGCACCAACCAGGCCTCTGGAGCCGCGGTCCCTGCAGTGGGGCCCTGATGCCAGCCCCAGGGCCAGGGCCAGCACGCAGCATCCCTGGGGTTCGCCCATGCCGCAGGGGCTCGGGGCATGCTGCGGGGAAGCAGTGACTCCAGCACGGCTCCCTTCCACCCGTCCCCAGGGTAATTCACTACAGCTTCTTACCAGAGTCTCCCGATGCCGGCCTCGGCTCTTGCAGGGAGTGGATGGACGCGTCACCGGGGGTGAGCCTCCCTCTGCTCTCTCCTCAGCGAGCTTATCATTTCTGTGGCCTCTTCTGGGACCCATTTCATTTCTGCAATTCCTTGGGCTATGCTGAGCAGAAAGGCCAAATCACTCCTTTACAAAATGAAATTGTAATGGCCTTGCTATTTCCTAGTTTAGTCTGTGCCTAGGCTTTCTTTTCGTGGTCGAGTTGTTTATGGTGGAGCAGAAGGAACATGTTTTGTTTTGCTTTATTTCTTTGCCTGTTCTTGCACGGGAACAGATTTTCAGCCAGCTGCCCACAGTTTTACTCCGTTCCACCTCCCCCCACCACAGGCACAAATGCAGTGTAGGTCCTGATCCAGACAAGCATTTCATTTCCGTACCAGAGCTCTTCAGCAATGTCAATAGCAGTACCCACAAATGCGGTTTTGTATGGGCTGAAGGCGGTGTCAGTGCAGGCCTTTTAGTGCAGATGCATGGGAGTAATTCTTTCTAATAAGCATTCACATGCGTCTCTCTCCAGTGACCTTCATTTGCCATCTCTCTGCCTATTTAGTTAGTTTATTAGGTCCTTCTGAAATGGTTCATAATATTCTCATAATATTGGACAAGTCACAATAATTATATCAAATTCCAATGTTATCAGCTGGATTTTGAAGCCCTGTCTCCTGTTTGCTAACATATGAAGCAACGCTGTACCTAACACAGTCCTTTGAGTCACCTCATTGTCAAAGCGATTGAAAGCCTTTTCTTCTTCTTCTCTTTTGGTGATTTTTACTTCCCCAGTTGATTTTGTTCCCTTTGTCACTTTTTGTGATGAAGGCTATCAGCTGTTTTAGAAAGAGCATTAGATTAATCAGATATGCTTGTACTTGAGGCACTTTGTTAGACTCCTAGCCTTGCTTTCTTTTAAAAAAATCTGCACTATTTTCCTCCTTTTATAGTGATAATTTGGCTGGGTTGTATGTCCTTTCTGTTTTAAGGGTTTTGTTTTCCTGGTGTTAAATTAAGGTTTAGTAGGTTGCAATTTTCAAGGCTAGCTCAACATGTTTTTCAAAGATAATATTCATGTAGCAGCATCCAGCTCTCCAGTAGCCGATGGTAAATGAGCAAGAATATAGTTGTTTGTTTGTTTTTTAATTAGTTGCTCTGACACTTCATTAGAAAGTATTTGCAAGGACCCAAGCCAGTTCTGTAGGTTTGTATCTCCCAAACACAAATGCTGCAGAACTTTCTGCCTTGAAAACAGTCTTTACTATTGATTTATTTTTCTTACACAGGGGAATAGATGTGCTGAGCTGTTATCTTAAAATACTATTTTGAATACAGGTGTAAATAAAATATGTAGGGTCTTTTTGACGACATAACCCTTAAATGCTCATGTACTTCTCCTTCAGTCCTCCTGCTTCTTGCCTATATCTGTGTGCATGTGTGAAAGAATTACTTCTTTTTTTTTTTTCTTACTAGTTGCTTGTGAAGCTTTTTCACACACCTAATTTCTTTCTCGCATCTTTAAGGCAGTTGCATGTGTATTTTTGTGTTGGTTTCAGTTGATGTAGGTGACTGTTTTGAAAGCTAACTGCTAAACAGCTTACCATGTAAATATAAACATTTATTTTTTCTTGCCTTCTGCTTCCTCTTTGTGTCAAAATATCCCCACTATATTATGATGTTGTGGCTCTGTGGATGTTAAGAACAGCTAGTTATTTCTAGCATCATGCCAGCCATGTGATTTCAGCCCTGAAGTGCCAGGTGAGCTGCACCACATCTTTTGTAAAGGCATTCATTCTTACTAAAAAGACATCTGTTTATCACATGCAATGCTCTCAGGTCGTTAATTTTAACCTATTATTCATTTTACTCGTTGTTTTTTTTTTTTTTAAATATGCATTTGTCCAATTTCTATTTCTATTCACTCATTACTTTTATGGCTTTGCTTCCTAGATGAAAGTCTACTGTTGTCAGGACTGTCACTGGTACTGGAATGAGTTTTCTCTACCTTTTTTGGGGGTGGCTCTCTGCAGTTTGTCATGCACAGGTATGCTTCCACAATTTCAAATAATATAGCAAAGTATTTTTGATTCCCTTGCAATATTCCAGTATCATTATCATTCGAAAATCAGATACCAGAACTGGACAGAACAATGTTGGTCCCATCAGTGATACATACCTGTAATACCTCTTTCTCCTGCATAATCATGCAAGTATTGCATTAACCTTAGCCCATGGATTGCATAGGGGATTTATGGTAAATTGATTTTCTGAAGTCCTTTTCAGTGTCACTGCATTTCAGGATATGGTCTTCTGTGTTGTTAGTGTGACCTACATTCTCTCTTTTGACATATCTGACTGTGTCTGCCTGTATTAAAACCTTTTCTAAATTATTACTTCATTTTACAAGCTGATTCAAATAGTACATTATAACTGGCCAAACCTTATTTCTCAAATGGTTATTTGGCCAGTTTTTTCTTTGCCTACCTTTAAAGTAGTACATTTAAAATATTTGAAGTATTTTCTCTCTTAAACAGATAAATACACTTCTATCAATTCCCCATCTGATTAGTGAAGAGGGATTTTAAAAAATCATAATTGGATACATCCATATGCAGATATAATCACCAATAATAATGGTTTGGTCAGCTTTTATTATGTTTTACAATGTTACACATTTTGTGTAGTGTTCCTGTTTGACAGAATGTAATGCAAACATTTTTTTTTTTAAATTGTTAAAAAATGCAACTATTTTCAACAATTAAATGTTTTCACAACAAAAAATTGTTAGGCTTGTTTAAAAAATAAAAATAAAAAATGTTTCCCATATATTAACTAGATATTATGCTATTGCTTCTCAACATTCTTTTGATCACAACAAGTGACAGATTCTCCAAAGGGTCATCTTAGCCCCAGTTTCCTAATCCAAGTGGTTCTTCGACGTGCATTTAATTTCTCTATGTCTGTAGCTCCTTCATTTTGTCTGGGTCAAAAACTGCTTTCCCACTTTTTCACAGCATCAACTCCAGAGACTGTATTTAAGCCCTCTCACAGATCATCTAAATTTATATGATTAACGGAACCTTTTTTTTCCTTGTTCACTGCATCACTGTATATGCCAGTCCACAAACTAGCATCGACACTGGTTTACATAGTCTGTCCTTGCTTACACCAACGAACACCCTGTGATGAGGTCCTGTAAAGCTCTAAAAAATTCCCACCAGAGAAGAGACTTCATCTCCCACTACCTCACACCATGGCTGATTATATCTGCCCATGTAAGTGTGAATGTTACCATTTGTACTCAGTATCCTGGGCTGCAGAACTTGCAGGATGAGCTCGTCTTTGTCCCAGCAAGAAATTAGCTTGCCAGTGTTGGCTTGCTAATCGGATTTGCTAGGCTTGCACTAGTGATAGACATTAGTGTCTTCCCACTGCTCTGAGGACTCATCCTTCAAATTTGCATCACCTCTGTGACAGAGGAAGGATTGCCCTTAGGAAATGGCAACGCTTGACATTTGCATTTGCACCAGGGTGGACATTCATTGGGGCTGGATGTGAGCTCCTTACTGCTTGAGAAGAAGTTTGAAACATCTCTGCAGTCGCAAATAAGTGACAGTAGACTCCATTTTTCCATCTCTGTTCCAAAGCCTAGGGAAAGAAGTTATTTTCACATACATATTTCATGGAATTTGCGACAGCTACCTGACAATTGACATAAGAGCTTTTAGATGAGCTAAACCAGCAGAACAAGAGATGCCTGCTAGACCTGCTTGATGTTTTCTTAACGATAACAGAGGAGACTTGGCATATTAGTGTTTCCTCGAAGACTATCCAAATATCCACTGATTTAAAAGATCAAAGAAAACAGCAATGCTTTCAGTTACAATGGGCATGATACCTGGGTGTACATTCTTGCATAACTATTGACAGCTTGCCTGGATTTCTGGCACTGCATGGCGTTTGTGCACCAGACAAGAGGCTGGTTGCTTGACTCTGGAGGTCATTAAGGCTGAAAGGTCTTAAGGGTACTTGGAAGAAGGCAACTCTAGATCCCAGTGAAGTAGCCTCAATTGCTGTCTGTTAAACCAGTTACCAACAGCTGTACAAAAGCCATTTTTTAAATTAGGAAGTTTTGTTTCTCTAGGGAAAAAGAGAAAACTGTAATGAAGACAAGGCACTTTGTGATGGTCATGTAGGCTGTGTGAAGGCCCAAGCTGACCCAGCTGCAGACTGTCACAGTCTTGCTCAGATTTTGCCTCCCATTAGCTAACTGTGACTGCAAACATGCTGTCTCCTAGCAAAAAGGTGCCTTGATTCTCTTGTGAAGGAGAGGAATAGCAAGAGTTTGCCAGCACTAAGTAGGCAACACCGAGAAGCCCACCCAACTCCTGACAAAGGTGCTTGGGTAGAGCCCAGAGGTGCAGCTGCCTCTTAAAATGTGTTGTTCAAATACTGAGCTCTTCAGTGTAAATGCACCTTATTTTTTGCCTTCAGAAGAGAAAAAGTGCTGACCACGCATAAGAAAACCAATCTTGTAGCTAACAGATACGTGATAATGTATGAAAGGATATTTATTCAGCTGAGTCACTTGTAGCCAGATATAAGTGACAGTTGTAGCAAGTAATAAGCTGTCATGTAGTGTTCCTTAAATGCGTGGATTTTCTGAAACCCCGCTCAAGGGGTCAATAGCAGAGCAGATGAAATTGTCTGCTGTATCACAGAGACCTGGAGAGTCATCTCTCCATTTCCTTTATTTCTTATTCCCCTGAAGTGGTAAACTTCTTTGAGAAATTCCTCCCAGAACAAATAAGCTTTCACTAGAAGTTGGGGAAAAGAACTGACTGTTTTGTTTGAGAAACATATATATTTTTTTAATTCCACCTTTTTGTTACTGTTTCACATTGTTCCTTAAGAAACTAATCTGTTTATTATTACTACTATTTGTTAGCCAGTGCTATTTTGTTATTTTGGTTTTTGCTCTAGGGCTGGCACACTCGCTAACGTATAGTTTAGTCACAAGAAAGACCAGTCAAATCAGACTGCTGGAATCTATGCTGCGCACATTTCTTGTGTGCCCTCATCTTGAGTCTTGTATTTGATGATTATTTTGTTTTAAATGGATAGAACTAGAAAAGGACGGGGAAGAATAAAAAGGAGACAGTAAATAATCTAGATCCTTCAGAGGATTCACTAAGGGGGAAAAGACAGAGATGTGCATGATAGTGAGTGTCATGGAGAAAGTAATTAAGGAGTGACTAATGCATTGTTTCTGATGATCCGAGACCTAAGGGGCATATGCCTTCCAATGGCATGACCACACATGGAATTTAAAGCATAGCTTTGTCATGCAGGGCATAATTATTTTGTGGAGCTCATTCCTCAGGATGGTACAAGTTCAAAAGAATAAGAGATGTCACTGCCGAGAGGTCCACGGAGGACTATTAGCATCATGGTACTTTGGCAAGCTCTAGGTTCAGAAAGTCCTGTGAGCAGCTGAATGCTGGAAGCTGAGAGGGTGTACTGAGGGATTTCTGATTTGAACTGGTTCTTATTCTCATCCTCTAAGAATCTCCTGCTATTAGCCCAAAGGCAGGATACTGGGCCAAGATGGATTTTGGCCTGACTTACAGGGACATGTTCATGTACATAGCTAGCTCTCCAAAAGAGCAACACAGTGGAGGAGGCATATGAACATAGAGTATGCTCACTAATTCAGAGACATGGCCTGATGATCTATTTTAACAGGCAGATAACATGAAGCTAAATCCACTGCAACTTTGTCCAGTTCAGCTCACCCCAGTAAAGCCAGTTTACACCAGCCTTATGGTATGAAGATTGTGGTGCATTGTAGGGGAAGTGTTTTACACAACATGCTCATAATCCTGATCTCCTGACCGTCCAAGCTGTGGTACTTTGGGGGACCATTGTAGCATCCTCCCTACATACACAACCAGTCTTTCTCCCAGAGGAAACAGGGTGTGAAGTGGCACTGAATGAACAATAAGCTCAGAAATACCCCAGAAACACCAGGCCTCTGAAGGACTGACTCCTGTGTGAGGCAGAAGACCATGTTTCTCATCCGTTCCTCACTATGAAAGGGAATACAGCTGCCTGCAGTGGCTCCATCTACAGACACAGACTTTCTCAGCAGAAAGTGTTTTCTGCTGGGATACGTAACAGCATGGCGTAAACTCAACTCTTGCTCACAATTTAAATTCAACAGACACAGCTAACAGGTCTGAAACAGGCAAGTATCAGGCGCAGGAAAGTTCTGAAATTCTTTTGCTTTGGCAACAATTGATGGGTAACATTTGGTTTGTCTTTTTCTTTGTGTTTGTCATTTTGTCATTTAGTTCGTCTTTGTGAACTAGTTTTTGCTAAATCTATTGGCCTTTTAAAAATACATAAAGGTATATATCAAATTGGTAAATTCCCTTAGAAATGACTTATCAACAGCTCAGGTTATTATCTCTCTATACATTTTATCTCTATATAAAGTCATGTCATATTTATATTTCATATCTCGCATTTAAGTATAGTCTGAAATTGCTGAGTTACAGGAAATTATATGAAACTGGCTTTGAGTACTATGAAAAAAAAAAACTATATAATGTTCTTCAGATATGCTCCTACTAGAAATGTCAGTTAGAATGTGATTGCAACAATTTCACTTTGAAATCACCTAAATGCATATAAAAATCAAGACAACAACCTCTGCAATAAGTTTCACCTTGCACAGAAGAAAACCAACCTGACACCCACTAAAATTACAGAAAGAACATGACTTTAATATTAGATTTCTGTAATCAAAATTGTCAGAGCCCTATTGTACATCAACATAATAATAATGTCTGAGATTCCTACCCAGAAAGCACAGTTTCTCTCAAACCTTCTGTTCATTCATTTAAAAGTGGTGTCAATATGTAATAGATGTCACTACTATATATGCATCTCTCGTCCTATATTAGCACTTTTTATTACTGAATTTACTTTTGGAAGGGCTTTCCAACAAACAGATATTTAACAAATGTACAATACACTTGT